GTTCATACCCTCTGAACTTGTAAATGTGTTAAATTCTAAGCTGTAGAAATAAACCTAATAACAGAAACTTCTCTATACACAAAAATAATCTTTGTAATTCTATGATTAAAACAAAGAGATGTCATCACAATGTATGACACCAAGGAATATTAAGTTAATTATAGTAACCAGTGGTTCACAGAGAAACATGTTTACGCAGTGTTAAATAAGGATAGAAAAAAACATACAAAGAGTAAAATTGTATCTATATTTAAAAAACTACAAATAGGGAAAAAAATGAATGAAAAGGAACTTATCAAAATTCTAATAATTTTTTTTGGACAATGAATCTATGGGAAATTTTAAATGTTTGCTTTTCAGTTTTTCCCTCAAATTCCTTTGTATGCTTGTTACTTTATATTAAGGAGGGAAAATATGATTTTTTACAGAGTATAATAATTTGTATAGTCATGTCTGGAATGGAAAGTAGGAAATACATATTATTCTTTTTTTTTTTTTTTTTTTGGTTTTTCGCCGGTACCGGGAACCGAACTCATGACCTTCCGCTTGCCAGGCAGGCGCTTTTGCCGCTGAGCTAAATCCCCAGCCCCGGAAATACATATTCTAATACCTGAATTTATGAAGCGTTTTTCCAAGGAGCTTAGTAGACACGCGTAACATCTACTGAGCAATCCTAGGTGCCTGGTTGCAGTGCATTAAGATATATTACACGCATATCTCACAAGCGTGGAACGACCTCTGCAGTAGGGGCTCTCCTTCCTATTTAAGGAAGAAACTGGCTTAAGGAGGTATGTGACTTATATACGGCCACACAGCTACTGAGGGACAGGATGATGATACCACCTAGGCCCCTCCTGCTCCACAGCTTGTGAGCTACCACACTGTGCCGTGTTCCTGCCTCCTGGGGGACAATGCAGGACACCAGGCTTCTAATTTACAGCTGGACAAAAACAGTCATAGAGACACACAGCAAGGCAGGATGCCTGGCCTGCTGACGACCACAGCCCGTGACAGAGCACTGAAGCAGCGGGTGGAGAAAAGAGAGACTGAGCCCTGGGTTCAGTGGACACCAACCTCGATCCTTTCCAGAAAAGTCTGAGGTTGACTGAGGCATGGAAAAAATAAAAAATAAAAAAGTATTTTCCCCAGTGACAACTTAAAAAACCTGATGCTACTGTATTAAGTTTTTCAAACCTTGTTGAGAAAAGAAGTGACTGAAGAGATAATAATATAAGCAAAAACTCAAGCATGCAACTGACAAGATACACCAAAGAAAAACTAAGTTCCGAAAACAAACCAGCCGGTCTCAAGGCACAAGGCCATCTTGAGGCTTGGCAGAGGCCTGCCTCGTCCTCCTGCCTCCTTTCTCCTGGGTTGAGAAGGCGGTACCTCGGCAAGCACAGTAAAGATGTGTCAGACTCAGGAAACGAAACAAAAAAAAATGGATGGAGACATGTTAAATGAAAACCAAACCAACAGAAGGCAATTTGTACAGATAGTAACCTGCTGTGAGGAGGCAAAGCTTACAGTTTCGGGGACTTCGTACGCTATCTGAGTGGACACGCCGCCCATGTCGAGGATGCCTGCTGTTCTCTTACGGATGATGGCCCCACTGTTCTCACTGCCAGGAAGGCTGACCTCCACGACCGCCTCATCATCTGCGGAGGCAGGAAACGCCTGTAGGAGCGGGACAAAGCCAGGACCTGGCTCTCCTGGGGTAGCTGCGCTTTCCAAGGGATGTTTCAAACACGTGAGGGCAACCCCTGCCTGCTCTGCCCAACACGAGTGAGGCTGAACAGCGGCTCCTCTTGCTCTGCTCCCACACAGCGCCCATGTCACAGACTTAGTTCCCTTTCCGGCTCTGACCACAACTTCTAATTAGACACATTAGCTGGAAGCAAGACACTTACCCTCTTCAATATGCTCAAATCGCCCAAGGACAAAATTAATGCCGATCCATGCATACACACCTACAGGCAATGGAGAGGGTCCAAATATGAAAAATTGGGGTTTGAAACATTTTGTGTAACTCTTATCAATGCAGTCTGTGCAAATGCCTCATGTATTTTAATCTCTGGCCTGGGAAACATCACCAAATAGCACATTTCTTATTATTTTTTCCTAGTAGTTTCCAAGAACTCTCAAATTTTTAGTATTTTTATATTTTGTTTTGTTTTTTGAGACAGGGTCTTGCTTTGTAGTTTAGGCTGGGTCTTGAACTGACTATGCAACCCAGGCTGACCTCGAACGCCTGGCAATGCGCCTGCCTCAGCTTCCCAAATGCGGGGATTTCTAGCCTGTGCCACCATTCCTGGCTCTCAATTTTGATATTTATAGTTTTATGGCATTTATAGAAGTTGAAAAGATAATTCCTCAGGTGCTTGTTTTCTTTTGAAACTTCAGGGTTGTTTCAAAATATCACATCTTTTAAACTTTTGATGAAGTTTCATTTTTGTAGGGAATTAAACCTACCAATTGCAAGGTTCTATAAACTCTAAAGTAGTTACATTCTGCTCTGGTCTTTCTGCTATTCCTCACACTCAGCTGCCAACTCTGATCCACTTCTGCATCATTTCCTACCCCTGATTTTTACCCACTTTTCACTGCCACACTGATTCACGTCATTTCAGAGAGCAGAGGCGTCCTACCCTCTCCTGGCAGCCCTCTCTGTCCTCTGCCACTGGGCTGATCTACAGAACAAAGTTTAAATAAACCTGTGGGCTGACAATTCAACACTGATCCGCTTTGTGACATTACCACCACCTTTCTTATAGGCCGTCCCTCAGGCAAACGCTCTGTCCGGTGTCCTTACTGCCCTGAACTGACTCAGTCCTTTCTTCTGCTTGGAATGGCGCTCCTGGCCTCCGAGCCCAGCCTCGCCCCCTTGTGTGGTCCATTTACAACTACCCCTTGCGGCACAGTGGCACAGCTCAAATGGCGATCTCCACCAGGGAAGAAATGCCTCTCTTTCCAATCCCCACAAAACATTTCCCTTATCTTCCTTTGGCTCCTGCAAAGACTCTTACAGTTCTGTGCTGTTCACTGGCCTGTGAGTGGCTGAAAGGCTGTTCCCAGCTTTGGTGCGCTCTGCAGGGCCTTTCACAGAGGAAGTACGTGCTGAAGTGACAGACGACTTAAAAGACTTTACTTTTAGGTCTCCATTTCTACCAAGCTATGCCCCAAATAATTTTACTGACTTATCATTTAATTCTCAAGCAGAATCAACTTCTTTGAAGACAGAACGAATTCGAGAATTTCCCCTGGCTAGTGAGTAAGTCAGGAGCGTCCAACAGCTCAACAGTGGTCCCAGTCCAGCAAGTCATGCAGTTAGACCAGGAGCACAAACCTCTTCCATCACCGTGAGTTCAAAGTATGTTCCCTAAATGCTGGGAAGGTCAACTGTTATTTCTGTTATTTTTTAATGACTTAAATATTTCAGTAATAAAGGCATATAAGAAACTCATTTAATCACTCAAAAATTATATTTTAAGAATATGATTTCCCAAATCTTACATTAAGAATAATTTGATACAGTGCACACTGGGGAGGATTTAAAGGAATAGCTCCCCAGATTTTAAGCTGAAGGCTAATACACCAACCTTCTTGTTTTCCTGAAATAACTTCGGCATGCGAGTCAGAAAACAGAAAGTCAAAGTGCACAGGGATGTCAGTCAGGAGGTCTTCCAGAATGGCTTTCTGCTGGCTGTAAGGCAACCCAAAATTTACGTGTCAAAATAGCACATCCTCAATTTTTCTATTTTGTTGTTGTTTTTTTTTTTTCCTGGTACCGGGAATTGAACTCACAACCTCACGCTTGCCAGGCAGATGCTGTGCTGCTGAGCTAAATCCCCAGCCCCAGTTTTTGTATTTTGAAAAGAAAAAACACAATTCTTATGGCTCTGATACAGCCTACATGAAATAGTACTTTTTGTGTGTGTGTGCATTACCGGGGATTGAATCCAGGCCTTGCACATGCTAAGCAAGTGCTCTACCACTGAGCTACAACCCTAGTACATTTTTTTCATTTTATTTTGAGATAAGATCTTGCTGGGTTACCCAGGCTGGCCTTGAGATTCTCCTGTCTTAGCGGCCTGAGTAGCTGGGGTTAAGGTATGTGCAACCACACACTAGGCTAAGATAGCTTCTTTTAAAACTAGAACAATTCATTGAAAATATTATTTTAGGAATGATTTTTCAGAATATCAGGCTGTGTGAATTATTTGATTCCTAGATGTAGAACTATAACTACACATGTTCCTGAAATAGTAAAACAGATTATTTTAAAAATGATACATTTATGATACATAACCAAGTACATTAAATGCTACTTGGTGGGTTGTGGCTGCGGGAACAGCTCTGGGACTGGTCTAGATGTGCAGACAGGATCCTGGATTCTTGCTTCTGATGATGGCGGCAATGGGTGATGATGATGGTGCTGGTGGAGGAGGGCAGGGTGGGGAGACAGAAGAGCAGAAGAGCACAGGCGGCCCTGGCTCTGGTGCAGAGGGTCACCTTTTGGGAAGGACTCTCATGCCGGCCGTGCAGAGAATGTAGAGCGGTGTCTCTTTGTGTTTTGCTCGTGGCACGTGCTCTGCAGCGAAGTTCAGAAGGGGAGAAATGTAATCGCTGACTTTCTCTGGAGAGGTAGCGAACTCTGAGATGCCTAGAGAAGCAGGACATGTGGTCAGCAGGCGGCGCTCTCCGCGAATGCAGCAGGCTTCTTCAGTGGACGAGGCTGGCACAAAGCCAAGCTCTACTCTCTTCCCCTAGCACTCCTGCCCCTCTCTTCCTCACTGCTCGGCCCTGAGCGGTCACTCACATGCCTCTCCTGTCATCAACCGCTTCCTGCCACAAAAGAGATCGCTCCTCCTTGGAAGCTCACGTTCTCGCATGGCTGCCGCAGCACTGTCAAGCCAGGGGTCTCCACATCGTACTGCCAGCCCTCAGACCTGCAGGTGCTGACTGTCCCCTGCACACATCCACCAAAATGCAACGTCCCCAAGCTCGAACTCCACACCTGCCCCTGCTGCCTGTTACCGCTGGGTCAGCCTGCTGGGTAACTGCCCTCTTCCTGGCCCCAACGTGCATTCAGGTTTTCATAGATCCCCTCCTGGGGTCCTCTCACTTTACTTCACTCTCATCTCTCTGGACATCGCCACCCTCTGCTGGTCTTGTGCAACAGGTCCTACCCAACAGCCTCAGCCACTCCCTACGCAAAGATGCTTTCTTTCAGCTTCTGACTCACACTTCTGTGGTTCCTCAGTGCCCTCCCGACAAAGCTCAACTCTAGAGGAGCACCGCCTGGCCCACACACCCACCCACCCTCATCTCTTGTCAAGTTCCTCCCATTCACTGGCAGCTACACCGAACTCACAGATCACCCTACCAGGACCTGTGCACCCCCCGGGAAAAGCCTTCTCTTTCCCGCTTTCACCTGGCTAACTTCTCCATGGCAACTCAGCTCCTCCCTCCATGGCGTCATCCCAACAGAAGCCCAACAGAGGTGAGCTCTTGCTGCATCCCACACTCCCCAGCCCTGCTGGTTACACTCACTGCACCATAGCAAGATCACTCACTTGACTGCCTATCTCACTACCACTGCAAGTTTCTTAAGGGCACACACAGTCTTGTTCAAATGAATTTATATTCCCTGCACCCAACACAGTGCCTGGCAAATGTTTGTTGAATGAGCAGGTGAGTCAGCGTTGGTGAACCACGGCATGTACCACAGTGGGCGGTGTGTATCGCTGAAGGCTCTAAAAGGTCCACCCTCACTGACGTAAGTGAGAGACTCTGTCACACAGCCTCCAAGAGTAAAAATGAAGGGACTCTGGAAGCCCGAAGTTCCTTATTTCACCGAGTAAGAGCTTGTGGGCCCAGGAAGATGAAGTGGTTTGTCAAAGGGATCTGAAGAAAATGGACCAAAAGACAAGTCTTTTGCACAATATACAATACTATTTCAATGGCGACCAACTCCCAAACTAGCTAGAATCCATTAAGCAAATTTCTAGAGCCCTGCTACAAACACAGGTGCCCAGGCTTCAAGACAGAGAAGTGTTATGAAAAGCACTTTGATTTCCACCCTGAGCACTCTGTATGGCAAGTGCCATGTCAAGGCAGATTGTACTGAGGTCCTGGTGTACTCTGGGATGGCACAGCTGTCCCTTTGTGTCAGAAGGACAATTCCAAGGTGTGAACACTTTCATCTTACTCCATGAGAAGTGTTTAATTCCCAACTGAATCTGGTATGAAAGGCTAAATGTAATGCAAGGTGCTCTGTCGAGTTTTATCGGTCTTGTGGTAAGTTTTTATTTGATCAACATTAACCCTGAAAATGTTTCTAGATTGGTACAAACTTAAGGAGTAGGAAAATAGAAAATTAAAAGTCATTTGCTAAGTCTTAAAGAAAAATTAGTCTTTGTTCATGGAAATATACTTTGATATTACCTATATTTCTGAAATGGGGCATAATAAGCTATAGTAATAAAGATTTATCAATATTCCTTTAAAAAATTTTTACTCAACATGTAATAACTGTCCATATTTGGGGATACCATGTGATAATTTGATATATGTATAAATGTGTGATGATCAAATTGGAGTAATTAGCATTTTGATCTCCTCAAACATTTATCACTTCTTTGTTTTTCTCTAATAGTTTAAAATGTGATTTCCTCATATCGTTTGAAGTTTTTTTTTCTTTGGTACTGGGAATCGAACTTAGGACCTTGCACTTGCCAGGCAGGTGCTGTGCCACCAAGCTATATCTCTAGCGGTAGTCTGGATTTAACATTTTACCGGTTTAAAAAAAAAAAAAAAATTTACCTATTACTACAACAGTAAGATAAACTAAAAGCTCTGTATCTTTATTAAGATCTATAGCTCACTGTTTAAGGTTGTTGGCTCACTTTCAACACAAAGTCATTTCCAGGTATTCCTGATGTCTCTATCCTAATGCTCCGGACAGAAAGCTGCCATCCATGGAAATGGTAATGATACTTGGGTGAGAACCACTCATTTAAATTACCTAAAGGGAGCCAAGCCTCAATTTTACATGTCACACTAGTGAAGAAATGATATTATCTTTAAAAACTACACATAATTATATTATCTCTTTTAAGCTCTACGGTCACCCTTATTAAATAATCTAGATGATCAGAAATATTTTAAGACAATTTGTAAAAACCACAAATACATATCAAGGTATCAGATTACAGATCTTCATGAGTTAGCTGAAATTGCCTTGTCATTAAGAATAGGGAAAAATGGCTACCAAATAGCAAAAGCCTACCCACAATGAATGCCAACTAGCAAACGTGGAGGTAGACACCAAGAGTGAAGCACTGTGACAAATGCTACAGAGGACAGAAAGATGTGGCCTTTGGATGCCTGGTCAAGGTGTTGGTCTCCCTATATAACATATAACACGGACAGAAGAGGAAAACCGAAGTGAAACCAGGAGACCTGCGAGGTCCTGCTGCGAGCTCTGAGGCGGGGTTAAGACAGTGCCGAGAGAGAGAGGAGGACTGAAAGACTGCACAGAACGTAAGTCATGGGTCCAACGCTTCCGCTTCACATACCCGGTTTTATTTTCATCACCACTGGCTTTCGGTTTTTATCCCTCATTTGTCTGATATCCAGCAGATCACGAGGGTTGCCATTGTGCCTTGGCCAACAATAGACAAAGACCCGGGACCCGCTGCTCCCGCAGTCCACCACGATACCGTAGTTCACGTTCGGGTTGTTGGTGTCCGTGGCTTCAATGTCTGTGACTCGGGCCAAGTACCTGGTGTAGCAAAACACAGTGCTTTTACTTAGATGAAATGTCACCCTACACTTAAATGACAGAGAAACTGCAATACACAAATGCCAACCGAGATTTCTGAGCTTTGTTGGAGCATGGCCGCACCGTTCCTCATGGCCAGAAGCAGGGAAAGGAGATGAAGCAGGTGATGCTGATGAAGATCTTCGAAATCAAGCACACACTCATTACTCCTGGACAGAAGTTCACACGGGCCCCAAAAAGCAAACTCTCTCCAAAATGCACAAGTTTACTCAAAGCCCAGCTTAAAACACTACAGAGGCGCTGCTTCCATCTAGGTAATTATTCAAGGGCCTCTTTCCGTTTGGCTTTTATGCCACGTGGTGGTACAGAATCTGATTCCCGCAACCATGTGCTCCTTATGTTCCAGCCTAACGGCAAATACCCTGAAGCCACGAAATGACAGTGCTGTGTTGAAACACCCGTGCTCCCGCCGCCAAATTCACTTGTGAAAAACCAAATCATCACCGCAATATTATCGCCTGGGAGGTGATCAGACCTTGACGGGTAAGAGCCCAGACAGCTCCCCTGCCCCTTTCCGCCACACGAGCGTACAGTGAGAAGGGACAAGGTTCCACCCGTGTTCCAGGAAACAGGCCCTCACCAGATACAAAAGCTGCCGGCACCCTAGCCCTAGACATCTCAGCCTTCAAATTATGAGAAATACATTCCTGTTGTTTATAAGCCGCTGTCCATAGTATCCTGTTACAGCAGCCAGAACGAACTGGGCCACACGGTACAGCATCCCTTCTCGAAATAGCTGTGTTCACCTCTTACCTTTGAAACTTCTTGTCTTTGGATAGTCGCCCATACTTATTCCGGATTATGACAACAGAGAAGTACAAAAGCGAGACAGCAGCAGCCAAGACGCTAATGACAATAATTTGGCGTAAATTGGTATTCAGAATTCGAGGACAGCTCACTGGAGAGATGCTAAAATGCCAAGAAGCAGGAAAAAGACAGGAGATGCCAATCCTGAAATATCAAAAAACACATTTTAAAGCAACATGCTCTCAAGAGGCCTCCCCTGACCTGAGCAGATCCTATAGTAAGACGTCCGGCTTGAGTTCATCCTACTTCTCTGCCCACTGCTGTGTGAATAACAGTATTGTTCCCCGTGGCTATTCTGCTTCTGGGTACATTATTATAAAGTGACAGGAATCAGAATTAGGCCCTAGGTCGCGACCCTTCTGAGTCTCTCCCTTTCTCTCGAGAGTATTATGTGGACTGCTGTTTTACCCTGCTTAGTTCCAAAAAGAACTAGAAATAGCGTGTAAGAATAAGGTAGGTCAGATAAGTTGATACACCAATAATGAAGTCCAGTTTAAGGACGATGAAAGCAAAGTGAAACAGAGGATGCAGAGCTGCTCCTTGTGAGCTAGGCCGCAAATGTGTGCAGCATCGTCATAGAAACATGCACTACTAATACATAAGCAGCTTGGGAGAAGCAAGATTTTCTCAGCCCTTTAACCAAGGCAATTTCTCCCAGCTGACTGAACAAGGAGAAAATAGTATCTTTAACAACATCTCCATAACAAAGCCAATAGAGGAGTGTTGTTATACCCTGTGTTTTGAGAAAGACTTCTTTGGGGTATTTTTGCAAATCTATAGGAAACTTTCCTTCTCTGTTTATATCAGGAACGAGATGCGCATGCTAAAACTATTATTAGGCTTTGTTAGACTAAAACAGCTCAGTGAAGTGGGGTTTAGCCTGCTGACCCAATGAGATTTGCCACTTGTGGTTTCTTGCCTCCGTGGAGGGTCAGAGCTACTGCACGGCATTCATCCTCCTCCTCTGCACCTCAGAAGCTACATCAGATCTCTGGTGCTTAATATAATGCCCTGCGGAACACACTGTGCAGGCGTTAATTGCAATCTACACTAACCAGGCATTATCACCTTCTCTCTGAGACAGGTGCCCCATTGGGCCCCAGAAGATTCAAAGTGTTCATCAGAAGTGCAGCGCAACGTCCCACACTTTTGTGATTTAGGTTTTTTTTCTCCCACTAAAGAGTTGCTTTTTCACACCAAAATCTCATGTCACGTATTACAGCATGAGGGACTAGGTCCACCACTCACCTCCCCATACTGAAAAAAGGCCAGAGACCAGGCGATGTCGTGGGGGTCAGTACTTCTTACACAGTTACAGCAACAGTGCTGGGGTCCTTCTTGAGTCACCATCCTCCTGTTCCAGGAACTGAGAAAAAATCAAACACAGCACAGTCAGGAAAAAAAAAGTCTATGTTCTCTATCAAGTGTGTGCTTAAATCCGATCGCCCACAAATGGATAGATAGGTACCTTTGTGCCGAAATTGTTGGAAGGGCTTATTCTGAGCAATATATTTCTAAGTTAATTTTATGCTACTGTAAATGTAGGCCTAAACCAAGGGTCTGGTACTTAATTGGTACTCTCTAGGCATCCCCATGGCCCCAAAATATCGAGGCATCAAATAGGCTTTAAATAACTCATTACTATATGATAAGCAGGTTGAAGGGAGGTATGAGTTAGGCAGAATGATGAAATGAACAGGACCGACTCGAGAGGTATGTGTTAGACTTCACTTTCATACACAAAGCACTCTGCGGGGTGCTATGTCCCCAGGTCTCTCCTACCCTTCAGGCTCCTCCTCCTGCCCCCAGACCACACATCACGGAGACCAGGGGCCTCCAGCCAGGAGCTGCTAGCGCAGAGGGTGTTTCTGAGTCTCTTTTCTTGGTCAGGGCCATCGCTTGACCGCTTTGAGCCTCTCCAGTCTTTGATCTCCTCTGGTGTGCTTCTCCACTCTTGAATCCTATTCCAGATCCTTCCAGTCTCCTGCCTGTCTGCTCCTGCATCCTCCCCGGTTCTGCCTGGATTCCATTCTCTTAACTTAAGCCCTGCTCCTGCTCAGCCTCATGACTGCTGCATTTTCTGGTAACTCAAACACTTCCCCACCCCAGTTTCTCTCCTGAACTGCACCCTCAAGCCTCTCGGGTATCTCCACCCGGAGCTTGCACAGGCAGTGAAACCCATGTCAAGCTGCAATCCCCACCCTCTCTTCTCTCAACCTGCTCCTCCTCGGCGGTCCCATTCTTGAGTTCACTAAGCTGCTCAAATCAAGAAAGCAGTGCCTGGCCTCTGCCTCCACTTTACCTTCCATACCCAATTTCTTATTGATTGCTGCCATTTCTTTAACTTCAACCCATCTAAAACCTGTCCCTGTTCTTTACCGCCTTTCCCAAGGCCGCACAGTATCTCTCCTCTGCTGTCCTGTCCCTGTAGTCTCCCACAGGGGCTCTCGAAGGCTGCCCCAATGCTCTCAGGCACAGATTCTGCCTCTGATGTCGGAACCCACGCCCTCCCACTCAAGACCGTGATCACATTACTCTCGCATCCAATTCCCCTAGTGGCTCCCACCCACTTACATGCAGAGGCTTTATTCCCACCGCCACAGTCCTGCAGCTCTGGCCACCTGTTCTGTTGACTGTATCATCTACTCTCTGCTAGTCACAACATTCCACCCAAACTGGGGGCCCTGGATTCGAGTACACTGGTCTCTGATCTTCTGCTCCTTCTGCTTAAAAGCCATCTGCAGGGCTCACTTTTCACCCCTTTAGGTCTTTACTAAGATGTCACTTTTTCAGAATTAATAATGGTAAATGTTCCCTCCTATCACTTACCTTTCCGTCTTAGCATGTACATCTTTTTTAGATACCTACGTAAGTATTTATTATGAGCCAGGGCCTGTTCCAAATGCTTTACAAATATGAATCTAGTCCTAATGACCTAGTTGGTAGATGTTATTATCAGGGCACTTTACAGATGAGGCAGAGGGGATAAGTAACTCGTCTAAGGCCACACAGCTAATAAAAGGCAGAGCTGGGGCCTAAGGGTGAGGCCCCTGCACTCGTCCTTATCCTCTAACACCCTGTGTGTGTGCGTCTGTGTGTCTGTTCATGTGATCCCCCTCTGGCTCTGTGGGGGCCAGATTTGGGTCTACCTGGTTGATGGTCACATTCCCACCCTTGGAGACCCTAGACTCTTTCTTAGGTTCACAGTTTGGGACCCTGCAAGCTTAAGAGTTCCGACATTGGTCTTCACAGGACACAGAGGAACTCCCTGCCTCCAACCTTCCCTCTCACTGGGGGAAAAATACTAACTCCTCAGGAAGTAACAGAGGCCCCTCACAAGCTGGACCTGCAACATGCCCTGCACGCATATTTAAAGTCTAAAAACGAAGTTAACACTTGGTTTCTCAGGGGCACTAGCCTCATTTCAAGCGCTGAGCAGCTGTGTAGTCTCTTCACGGGCCAGTGGATGCTGAAGATGGACGGCAACACGGCAAGTGTTGGGGAGCACTGAGCAAGCCCGTCCCGCCTGGTCCATCCCCGAAAGATCTCTGTATGCCCCTGAAGCCCCAGCCAAACTAAACACAGATCCCTGAAAAGCTTCACACTCCTCAGCACTCACACAATGCCCCTATCCAGGGTCTGTCAGCAGGCATTCCTAAGTCGCCCAGGGCACAAGCATGCACACTCCTCCGGCAGCGCCTCCCCAACTCCCAAGTCCCTGTGTCCGGTCATCACAGTAGTGGGCCTGGGCGCTGTATCTGGGGTGACCCATTGCGTGGCAACCCACCCACTGCAAGCGTCACAAGGGTGGGACATGCCTGTTACTTTCCTGTTTCCCCAGAGACCAGTGACTTGCTACACAAATGATGAGAAACCACTGTTTGTTTCACGCGTGGCTGTAAATGAGGTACAAAGAGGAATCGGAGTCAGGCATGGCGGCATACTCCTGTAATGCTAGTACTCTGGGAGGCTGAGGCAGGAGGGCTGAAGTTCAAGCCTAGCCTGGGCAAATCAGAGAGACCCCGTCTCATAAAAAACAAAAAGGGCTGGGGCTGTAGCTCAGTGACAAGGCCCTGGGCTTCAATCCCCAGTCCCCAACCCTAATAGATAAATAAATAAATGTAGCTCTTAAGAATTTCTAACCCAGTAGAAGGGATAAAAAACAGACACACAAAGACATATGGAGTAAAAAGTATTAATAATGTACCGAGGGAGAAATCACTGGGGTTCAAATTTTAATATAGTACCCATATTGTGTCATGTGCCCCAAATTCAAGACAAACAATATTTGTAATTTAACTTTAAATAAAAAGCAAAAAAAGTACTAATTACCTAATGTTTAAATAAATTTTAATATTTTTATAAAAGTTATCTTTTAGCATTTCAAGATGGTGAAATTATAAATCATATCTTTCACTACAATTCCAACGTCTTAAAAGATTTAAATATTAAATATCCATAGAAAGGAAAGATGAAAATACATGAGCTTAAAATGGATACGGTCTTCCTGCAAATTACATCAATATCTCAAACCATCAGTGAAATTAAATATGGTTTTACAACAAATCCTTTCCAAAAAATACATGTCTTGATAAAGTGTTTTTAATATTTATAACAAAAGGCAAATGGCCTTTACATATAGAACATTCTTATAAAATAAGAGAAACACTGGAACAAAAAATAGGCAAGGATAATTGTAAGTCAACAAGAAATACAAATGGTTGATAAACTTCATTGCTATTCAGAAAAACAGAATAAAAGACTTGACAACTATCAGATTGGCTAAGATTTAAGTTTGATGATATTTAAGTAAGGAGGTCATCAAGTATTGTTATGAGAATCTAAATTTCTGGAGGTATTAGTATAATATAAATGGACATCTTAAATATGCTACCCCCTCTTGTCCCTACAATTCCAGAAATTCACTGTTAGGAAATAATAAGGTACATTCACTAAAAATATGTATAGGATGTACATCATAGCACTGTGTATAAAAACAAAATACTGTTACTAAAGTCCTTTATGGAGGGTGGGTAAAATTAGACAATGTTATTTATACAATGGAACACAACGTGATTATTCAAAGTGATGATGCAGATTTGTATTTACTGATGTGCAAAGAGGTCTACCAGGTATTAAGGGAAAACATGTTGTTATGGTTTGTGTCTGGGTGTCCCCCCAAAGCCTCATGTGGCCATGGGGCAGGCTTTTAGAGTTTGATTGATTATGGGTGTGAGAGCTACACCCACTCTGGAGTGGATAGTTTGCACATGTAAGGGAGAGAAAGAGGGTGCTTCTGCTCATTTCCTCCCTTTTGTGTGTGTTTGCTGCTTTGCTATGTTCTGTCACCATGAGCTGTAGCCCTCTGCCATGTGCCACTCTGCCTTATAATCTGCCAAGTATGGACTGAAACCTCCACAAACTGTAAGTGAAATAAACCTTTCCTTCCTTAATTTTGGGCATCAGGTATTTTGTCCCAGCAACAAGAGAAAAGTAACCAAGACACATGTTATCACACATCAAGAGAAAAATGGGAGGAAAGAAAACAAAAAAGTTAACGGGGCTTATTGAGTAGTGAGATCATATATTGTCTTTGTCTTCTTACCTAGGTTTACTTATATTTTTCAAAGAGCATATATTAATTTCATCACCAGAACAACTGAACTACTTCTTAAAAGCCACTTTTGATGATGATGTCACCAGTTTCCAGCATCAAATCCTCTTCTGGATATATTAAGAATGCCGAGGCTTAAAAACTTCTGCCAGGGATTCCAACCTGAACATTTCAAAGAACTGATGATAACTATGTGATAAGTGAATGAAGAAGCAAAGAAAAGAAAGTGTTAGTAACAGCTTGAGGCCCCTATTAAAGGCAAGTGGAAAAAAAAAAAAAGGCAAATGGGTCCTTTAATGATCCAAGCATCAGTACTAGGAAGGTGACAGGGGAAGGCATGACAAACCCATGCCTTTGGTACAGATTGGTAGAGAAAGAACACTAACACCAGAGAAACAGCAAGAGAGAACTAAAAGAAAAGTTAAATCAAATGAGATCTTGCTCTAAGAGCTCAGAGAAGAAAACAAAAAAAGGTTAGTGTCAATAGGAAAGAAGTCCTGGAGGTGAGAGGTTGTGTTAGTTTTTCAACAACGTGATAAAGTATCTGACACTAACGAAGGAGGAAAGGTTGATCAGGCCTCACGGTTTCAGAGGTTCAGTCCAAGGTTGGATGGCTCTACTGTTTCTGAGCCTGTGAGGCACACCGTCAGGATGAAAGGGTGTGGCACAGGAAAGCTGCTAACCTCACCATAGCCAGGAAGCAGAGAGAGAAACAACCAGACAAGAAGGGGCCAGGGACTAGACAGTCTCCAAAGTTATACCTTCCAGTGACCAGCTTCATCTACTTAGGCCCCATCTCCCAAGTTTCCATCACCTTCCAATAATGCTATCAAGTTATGAATCCATGAAGACTCGCGATCCAATGACTTCCCCAAAGCCTATCAACTAGGAACCAAGCCTTCAACACGCTGAGCCTTTGGGGGACATCCTAGATTGCAACCATAACAGAGGTAGACTGGATGGGGGTGAGAAAGGAGAACACAATTCAAAGATGCACTGTAAGAACGATCGCAGCATACTTAGTAAACTTTATTTCATCTGGTGTTTGCTGTAGGCCTTCTTTTTGTTACATGAGGATTTGACAAAAAGAATAAACATTGTGTGTTAAAAATTCTGTGTTTAAAGACACAATTTATAAAGGACAATACCTATAAGAATACCTATGAAGGTCAATTCATAACTTACTGAAATATTTGCTTTTATTCAGGACAAAAGTATGGTCAGCAGTCAACCACATGGAAATGTGACTTCAACATGTAAATTTCACTTGTCCTTGCAGCTAAGAATCTGCCACCAGAAGTCAAACTTTAATACTGTACTACATGAAGCTGCCATGTTTTAAAACAGCATCAGACCTATCACCAGGGAGACACAGGAACCCTCCTGGTTTCAGCTGCTGCGTCCTTTTTAGCTGGACAGCCTTTGGTGGCACAGAGCCCATGGGTTATGGGTCAGTATCTTTGTGAGTCTCTCAGTGACAGTCCTAAGGACAAATCGCCTGCAAAGGGAAATGGCTCCTCTGGCAAAAAATGCAGGATTCAGTGAAACAGGTATTGTTAAAACTCGAACTAAGAGCAAACAAAATAAAAAACAGGCGAAGTCCTGAACCTGTGAGACTGTGAGAGCTGGAACCCTGGACCTTTGAATTACAAAAGGTATCACCACATGAGGGGTGCTTCAAAAAAGAATCATTTGAATGTCAAAGGATTTCAGGAGTGGAAGGGCCCTAAACAACTGTAAGCATTTGGCAGTTCTGTAAGAAAAAACTCAGTGTGACCTGTGAAATGAAGGCTGCAGTGTGGCACTGAGTCAGCTAGGCTAAAACATCCATCGAACAATGAGCATCATTATTTTAAGAAGAATGCATACAGTTGCACTGATGACCTATATTTTTTAATATATTAAAGTTTTTCATTTTTCAGTATCAAATCCTAATCAACCTCTCACTATTCACTTGTAAAAATTCTGGTCTTCACTGGAGATCGGTCTGCCCTCTGAAGCGGAGGCCCCAGAGCTCAGACCCATCCTACCACTTAGTCCAACAGGAACGAGAGGGCCCTGGGCATACTCTGCCTTCTCCCTCTGGCCAGACCGTCATCTCCATGGAGGAGCCCTGGGTAATCATGACTATGGAGGAACAAGCAAACAGCCTGTTGCTAGACACAGGTGCAAGTCTCTCGGTCCTTCTTTTCAATCCTGGCCTTCCTTCCAGCCGTCACACCTCAGCGACAGGAGTCACTGGTGAGGAGGTAGTATGCTATTTTTGACAACCCTTAGGCTGTAACTACTTGTTAGATCCTTCTTGAGTATCTCTGTCTTCCTGAGAAACCACTTTGAAGATACCACCATGTATTATAGCAGCCACTGATATTTTCCTACTAAGCTATCCATAACTCTGTAACGTTTGTATTGTTCCCATCCTATTTCATAAATGGATGCATGTTTATTATTACGTGTTTCCTACAACAACCATTGAGAATAGTTAATGATTATTCAATAGGTCACTCATGTATAGCTCTATTTATTTTCTTTAGAAGCCACTTTGAAGACACCAAAGTATAGTACAACAACTATTGATAATCTACCTCTTTTGTCTGTAACTCACTATTATTTGTCTATTTGTTTTCCTGAGAAACTATCTTGTAGATAACAATATGTAAAACAATAACCGTTGATAATTTCCTACCACTTTGTCTGCAATTTGGTAAGCCCCCCTTATTATTATGTTATCCTTCTTTTACTCTTTAAAGTAAAAAAAAAAAAAAATTCTGGTCTGTATTTTAAATGGGCTTTTTCTGGTCATACACGTCCTGCATCAGCTCTCTATCTCCCCAAAGTGACTTTCCTCAAGTTCAACAGCCCCAGTTGGTTCAAATCGTCCCTGTAAACTCAATTACACCCAAGTCTGGGGTTACGAGCTTTTGACACAAATAATAACCACCTTCAAACCCTTTCTAGAAGACCACCCATAGGATTACCTGGTTCTCAGCTTTGATTCTCATTTCACTTTATTCCACCGTTCTATAGTTTATCAAGTCCTACGGATTCTTCCTCAAATGCTCCACTACTACCTCTGGACAGACCCTGTGTTGGGTCACTTGTGCCTTCCCTATGAATACTACTTCTTTGTAAAACACATTCTTTAAAATATGACCAGCCTAAGAATATTCTGGAAGCCTGTGGATCAACATCAGCACCTCCATGGGGCACCTCCATCATCAACCGTGTCCACTTTAGGTTACCAGTCTGTTCTCTCCTCTGTCCCTGTAAGATCTCCCTACTCTGGGGAGGTGGGTCTCTTCCTTCCCACAAGATGTTCTCCTGCTTGCCTCCGCCTGTACCAACACCACTCCTCCTAATATCCAGCTCTCAATATTACACTGCTTTCAAGGCCACAGGGCAGTATTTTTCCTTGTCAAGATTTAACTTGTTATAATTCCTAATGTTTTCCCACACTCTTAAGTCCTGCTTATTCATGCCCATCCTTTTAAAATAAACACACTGAACAAATATGTACAGAATATAAATCATCCTTAGATCAACTTTCCTTTTTGCCTCTTCTATAGGGGACCTATACTCTCAGGGCCAAAATCATGTATTTCCTGTTAAAGCTAGAAGAACAGAAGCAATAGATGGAGTATGCAACAAACACAGGTGATAAATCAAAGTTAAAGTAAAGAAATAAATTAAACTGCTTGTACAAATTAAGAGTTCTCTTTCAAACTCTAAGTGTGGTGAACAGAATTAACAAACATGATACAAAGATGAGAAACATCAAATAGAACACAAAGAATGTGATTCCTGTAGGCCTGTCCAAGGATGGACAATTAGGCATTTTCATTACACAGAACAAATGAGAGCTGCACTGTGCAATTAAGGTGAGATCTGAATCTATACTTCTGGATTCTTTAAGAACCTCTAGTTTACCTTCTAGCATGAAAAGTCCCTGCACTATAAAAGATCTCTTTTATTTCCTATTGATAAGTGTTCTCTGAAAATGCTCTGCACCTGTGTTCATCTAGCTGGGGCCTGGGGACATCTGTAGGTTGTGGGAAGTATTCTAGAGAACGAAAGGATCATCCCTGTAAAAGGAGTCCATGCATTACTCCAGTTGAGGAATACTGCCGTGCAAAATTACTTTATCACCCAATTAGCTCCATTTTCCACAGAGATATCTGACACGAAACTTGGCAAAAGCAGAGCAAAGCAAAAATGATGCCGTACGCGTAAACGTCATCATTTCAAGGGACAGGCAGGGCGCAGGAGGCTGGGGCCAGCATCCTTCTGCTTGGCCAGGTTCCACTCCCGCTACGTGTCGGGGAGGAACACGCAGCGCGGTGGCCGGGGAGGCGTGCGCCACGTTCGTCCTAGGCGGACTCGGAGCGATCACCCGCCACCCGGGTACGGGGCGCCCGGATGTGGGCACGCGGCCCAGGCACGGGGGCGCCCCGGGGACCGGCGGGGGCGCACACCGGGCGAGTCGAGG